ACAGCCGACTCAGCGTTTGTCACAGGCTCAGGCTGTTTGGATTCGCCTGATCGGGTCCAAGACCAATCAAGGTGGGGCTCCAGCGACAAGGATACTATGTCGCTCTGGCCACCAGTTTATGTGCCCCGTGTACGGAGCTCTCATCCTCCACCAAGCTAGGATGAATCTACCTGCAAACATCCCAGCCGCTGTGTACATCTCACACTGGGGACAACCAGCCTGCGTATCGACCGAAGACGTGTCCGAAGCTATCAAAGGCACTGCCGCTCGCACTGGCCAAGACCCCCGCCGGTTCAGATCTCCTTCTCTACGCGCCGGGGGAGCCACGCACATGTACCGATCTGACACATATGCACTTACAATCCAGTTCCTCGGCCGCTGGGTTTCCGACGCGTACAAGAACTACACCAGGATCTGTAAGGAGTGCTTTCAGCGAACATGGTGGCAGGTCCACCAGGGGATTTGACGCTACATTAGTGGAGCCAATATGCATGGCCACTTTGGAGGCACCGCTCTCCTCGTCCCTTTTCGGATCGAGCTGATGGCCATTACATAAGCTCTCATTAATGTATTTGCTCGTTTGACCCCCAAGGATTGTAAAAAACAATATACATCAATTGGAAGCAGAGTCAAAAATTAAATATCGTTAGGACATCGCTCTTTTAGTAAAATAAATAACTGAAACAATAAATTACTTGTTTTCAATAGTGTGCCTGGCATTCTTCTTTCTTTTGAGACGATCAGAGATCGTTGCCATCCAAGGTGGATCCTCCAAGTGGTTCGCGCTACGAGCTCAAGACATCGTTGTTGTAGATACTGCTGGACAGCCGACTCAGCGTTTGTCACAGGCTCAGGCTGTTTGGATTCGCCTGATCGGGTCCAAGACCAATCAAGGTGGGGCTCCAGCGACAAGGATACTTTGTCGCTCTGGCCACCAGTTTATGTGCCCCGTGTTCGGAGCTCTCATCCTCCATCAAGCTAGGATGAATCTACCTGCAAACATCCCAGCCGCTGTGTACATCTTACACTGGGGACAACCAGCCTGCGTATCGACCGAAGACGTGTCCGAAGCTATCAAAGGCACTGCCGCTCGCACTGGCCAAGACCCCCGCCGGTTCAGATCTCCTTCTCTACGCGCCGGTGGAGCCACGCACATGTACCGATCTGACACATATGCACTTACAATCCAGTTCCTCGGCCGCTGGGTTTCCGACGCGTACAAGAACTACACCAGGATCTGTAAGGAGTGCTTTCAGCGAACATGGTGGCAGGTCCACCAGGGGATTTGACGCTACATTAGTGGAGCCAATATGCATGGCCACTTTGGGGGCACCGCTCTCCTCGTCCCTTTTCGGATCGAGCTGATGGCCATTACATAAGCTCTCATTAATGTATTTGTTCGTTTGACCCCCAAGGATTGTAAAAAACAATATACATCAATTGGAAGCAGAGTCGAAAATTAAATATCGTTAGGACATCGCTCTTTTAGTAAAATAAATAACTGAAACAATAAATTACTTGTTTTCAATAGTGTGCCTGGCATTCTTCTTTCTTTTGAGACGATCAGAGATCGTTGCCATCCAAGGTGGATCCTCCAAGTGGTTCGCGCTACGAGCTCAAGACATCGTTGTTGTTGATACTGCTGGACAGCCGACTCAGCGTTTGTCACTGGCTCAGGCTGTTTGGATTCGCCTGATCGGGTCCAAGACCAATCAAGGTGGGGCTCCAGCGACAAGGATACTTTGTCGCTCTGGCCACCAGTTTATGTGCCCCGTGTTCGGAGCTTCTCATCCTCCATCAAGCTAGGATGAATCTACCTGCAAACATCCCAGCCGCTGTGTACATCTCACACTGGGGACAACCAGCCTGCGTATCGACCGAAGACATGTCCGAAGCTATCAAAGGCACTGCCGCTCGCACTGGCCAAGACCCCCGCCGGTTCAGATCTCCTTCTCTACGCGCCGAGGGAGCCACGCACATGTACCGATCTGACACATATGCACTTACAATCCAGTTCCTCGTCCGCTGGGTTTCCGACGCGTACAAGAACTACACCAGGATCTGTAAGGAGTGCTTTCAGCGAACATGGTGGCAGGTCCACCAGGGGATTTGACGCTACATTAGTGGAGCCAATATGCATGGTCACTTTGGGGGCACCGCTCTGCTCGTCCCTTTTCGGATCGAGCTGATGGCCATTACATAAGCTCTCATTAATGTATTTGTTCGTTTGACCCCCAAGGATTGTAAAAAACAATATACATCAATTGGAAGCAGAGTCGAAAATTAAATATCGTTTGGACATCGCTCTTTTAGTAAAATAATTAACTGAAACAATAAATTACTTGTTTTCAATAGTGTGCCTGGCATTCTTCTTTCTTTTGAGACGATCAGAGATCGTTGCCATCCAAGGTGGATCCTCCAAGTGGTTCGCGCTACGAGCTCAAGACATCGTTGTTGTAGATACTGCTGAACAGCCGACTCAGCGTTTGTCACAGGCTCAGGCTGTTTGGATTCGCCTGATCGGGTCCAAGACCAATCAAGGTGGGGCTCCAGCGACAAGGATACGACGTCGCTCTGGCCACCAGTTTATGTGCCCCGTGTTCGGAGCTCTCATCCTCCATCAAGCTAGGATGAATCTACCTGCAAACATCCCAGCCGCTGTGTACATCTCACACTGGGGACAACCAGCCTGCGTATCGACCGAAGACGTGTCCGAAGCTATCAAAGGCACTGCCGCTCGCACTGGCCAAGACCCCCGCCGGTTCAGATCTCCTTCTCTACGCGCCGGGGGAGCCACGCACATGTACCGATCTGACACATATGCACTTACAATCCAGTTCCTCGGCCGCTGGGTTTCCGACGCGTACAAGAACTACACCAGGATCTGTAAGGAGTGCTTTCAGCGAACATGGTGGGCAGGTCCACCAGGGGATTTGACGCTACATTAGTGGAGCCAATATGCATGGCCACTTTGGGGGCACCGCTCTGCTCGTCCCTTTTCGGATCGAGCTGATGGCCATTACATAAGCTCTCATTAATGTATTTGTTCGTTTGACCCCCAAGGATTGTAAAAAACAATATACATCAATTGGAAGCAGAGTCGAAAATTAAATATCGTTTGGACATCGCTCTTTTAGTAAAATAATTAACTGAAACAATAAATTACTTGTTTTCAATAGTGTGCCTGGCATTCTTCTTTCTTTTGAGACGATCAGAGATCGTTGCCATCCAAGGTGGATCCTCCAAGTGGTTCGCGCTACGAGCTCAAGACATCGTTGTTGTAGATACTGCTGAACAGCCGACTCAGCGTTTGTCACAGGCTCAGGCTGTTTGGATTCGCCTGATCGGGTCCAAGACCAATCAAGGTGGGGCTCCAGCGACAAGGATACTTTGTCGCTCTGGCCACCAGTTTATGTGCCCCGTGTTTGGAGCTCTTATCCTCCACCAAGCTAGGATGAATCTACCTGCAAACATCCCAGCCGCTGTGTACATCTCACACTGGGGACAACCAGCCTGCGTATCGACCGAAGACGTGTCCGAAGCTATCAAAGGCACTGCCGCTCGCACTGGCCAAGCCCCCGCCGGTTCAGATCTCCTTCTCTACGCGCCGAGGGAGCCACGCACATGTACCGATCTGACACATATGCACTTACAATCCAGTTCCTCGGCCGCTGGGTTTCCGACGCGTACAAGAACTACACCAGGATCTGTAAGGAGTGCTTTCAGCAACCATGGTGGCAGGTCCACCAGGGGATTTGACGCTACATTAGTGGAGCCAATATGCATGGCCACTTTGGGGGCACCGCTCTGCTCGTCCCTTTTCGGATCGAGCTGATGGCCATTACATAAGCTCTCATTAATGTATTTGTTCGTTTGACCCCCAAGGACTGTAAAAAACAATATACATCAATTGGAAGCAGAGTCGAAAATTAAATATCGTTAGGACATCGCTCTTTTAGTAAAATAAATAACCAAAACAATAAATTACTTGTTTTCAATAATTGGTCGTCTTACGATTTTGTAAATGTCGGTTTTTGGTGGCATGCTGAGTACGGTTGGCAAGTTCTACGTCTGAACGTGAGTAAGAGACTATAAGGGTGGCTCCAACGGCATTCGCAGCGGTTACGGATAACATCACATAATTACATAGGTCAGGAAATAATATGAAAATAAAAAAGGCATTTCCACAGTTTAAACTTCAAAAATTATGTTTTTAGCGCTAAAAATATCATTGTTTTATTTTAATATTTATTTTTAGGAATCCCAGGCTTATCGTTAATGATGTTTCGATTCCAAAAGTCATTAAAATATTAAGATATACCAAACTGGAACTAGCCTCAAAGTAAAAAAAAACATTTTCTTCTTTAAATCAGCTTGCAGTTCTTCTACATGTAATGCACTTGAAGTATTGCTAAGCTCACTAATTAATGTCGATCATTTAACCCCTATGGAGCAGAACGTTAACAAAGTGCTTCCTCTGTCCGGAAATAAAGCCACATCAAATAAAAAAATTAAACTTAAGATAAAAAAAATTAATCTAGCGTTAGCTGATTGGTGATCAGAAACGTTGTAGCCGTCTTTTTTGTCGTGGGCATCCAATTATTATCAATCGGCGGCTCAAGGCGAAAAAAAACCTGCATGAATTCGATTCGCCATAGAAACGATTTTTTTTACGTAAGTACGCTTTTTCGTCGCATCTAATCGAGCAAATATTAATGTTTTTTTTTTAATTAATCAGGTGGCCTTATATTTTCGGACGTACTTAAGTGCGACATGACTAACAGAGTACATATGTGTACAATATTAATACTAAAGTACATGATATAAAATGATGCAAAGTATTAAATTAATATTTGCAGTATTAATACTATTAATACTGCAAAATCGAATGGTAAGCCCACATAATATTAATGAACGAAAGCAGGAAGCCTATCCCAAACAGCAAACTGCTAGTCGCTAGACTATATCGCCGACGTTTCATCGTTTTCCAACCCCCTCTATTACTTGGCCGAGTTAGTCAGACGCTTGGCCTCAAGCTTTGCCACCACCTCAGCCTCTAGACGCCGAATGTCCTCCATTGAAAGACCGTACCACTCATCCGTCTGGCATTGCGCCTGCCGAAGAGTATTGTGGAACAGCTGCCGCTGTTGGTCACGAATGATCTTCTCAGCCTTCAAAGTGCAACCACAATGTTAGAATTAGCTCAATTAAGATAATCTTAGGTTCATTTCTACCTTGCCCTGTACGCCCCAGTAGTCGAAGTTGATGCGTACAACCTTGTAGCAAGTCATAATGGGATCAACAGTCTTCATCCAGCCACGAGTCAGCGGTCCACGAGAAGTTTTTACGGACTTGTACTGGAAATATTTAAAAAAAATACACAATTTATAATACTCCGAGCAAATGAAAAACACCATCTAAGACTACAAACCGTGGATGGGTCGCGGTCTTCCTTAAGCTCTTGCTTGGCCATCTTCTCGGCAATATCCAAACTGTAACACAATGACCCAATTAGTCTACCACCTTCTACATTTCTCAACTGTCGCCGTCCACGTACACTTCGACCTTGCGCTGTTTGAGTTCGCTGCTGCTCATCCCAACCGCGTTTTCCGAGTCTCCGCGATCCGTCTTGTGCACCGATTCGATCGAGATGTAAAACTTGTGCTTGGCCAGGTAGCCGTTGACGATGACGGTCACGCAGTGTGGGTACGAATTCCACGCCTCCTCGATCAGCACCATGCTGTCCTCCGGGCAGCTACACATTCAACAACGCAACGGTCATCAACAGGCACAGCCTGCCGTACATTATGTAGCAGCACTTACAAGGCAGATACGAAGCCGGGGATCTTGGACTTGCAGTAGTAGTGCTTGCGTGTGTACTGGCCCTTGTTGCGCGGGACGGTCCAGCCCGAGATGCTCGACACGCCCATGTGGCCATCCGTGTTGTCGTATGGCTCATTAACCAAGATCTCCACGCCCTCTCCATCGCCCGTAAGCTGTTCGCTGGCGTTCACCACCATGTATAGCTGCGCCACTTGGAATTCCTCCACACTCATGTGCAGCGGAACGCGGAACTCGTGAATCAGCACCATCGTTTCTTTTATTCAGCAACTAGACGTCGATTAATGTTGCAGCAGACTGCGTTAGGAAGAGCAGACAGTAGTGAATGCGATGCACTAAATTACACGTTGAACGCAGCACTGTGTGGGCCAGGAAGCAGCAGCCAAGCAACGAGCGGGCAAGGGGGGACTTAACCGCTTGAAAGTGACGTAACGGGTTGCTTGGAGAAACAGTGTAAAATAGCATAAACCTGACATATCACATAGGCTCGACTTAGAATAAGATTTCTAAAGAAAACGTATTTAACAGAGAGGTTGACGGTACTTTCTAGTTGATGCTTCAAGAGCCTGACACGTCGTATACAGTCAGTTCAGCAATAAAGGGCCGCAGTGAGCATTGAGCATGGGCAACAGCGACAGCAAGAGCAAGTTCCGCGAGAGCGTGTACAAGCTCAACAATGAGGTGATCAGCAGCAAGAACCTCGAGTTCTGGGACAAGCTGTGGCGCATCCCGACGGTGGCGGAGGAGATCTTTACGCTCATCCAGCCGGACGACGTGCGCATGCTGCGTCACCAGCAGCCTGAGAATCTGGCCACGATGCTCAAGCAGGCAGTCTCTCAGATCGTACAGATCGTAGACACGCCTGTGCCCAAGTATTACCAGCAGGCAGTGAATTGTGTGCGTGTATTGACACGTCTAGTGCCCTTTATACTGGAGGAAGGCGGCGATGAGTTCGTCGAGAAGCTTTTCTGGAGTGTCGAAGGCGACGAAGGCGTTAAGTCCGGCGACGAAGAGGACGAGACTAAGGACGAAACAACCGGAGCGGAGCCACTGGCCAAGCAGATGATCCACGCTATAATGGGGCTGTTGTTCCTGCCAGAGTTCACAGTCTCCATCCACGCGTACAAAGGATACGGAGAGGAGCGACGTAGCGCTACACGTAGTGGGCAGAGTACAACCAGTGGGTCGTTAGTGTTCCCGAGTCTGCTGTGGCACTCAGGTGTGGGGTATCCGGACGCGAGCGTGGTCAACTCGTCCAACTACGACAGGAACAGGAAGGAGGTTCTGGCGCTGCTGTTGACGTGCTTTTCCGGTATTTTGTATCAAACAGCAGAGACCTGCAGTCAGTGGAAGGATAGATTCTTGGAGGTAGCTACAGCTCCCGATTGCCCCTTTGGACCGACGCTGTTCTACTCGCTGCTGAACATCGTGGTGTCCTATGACCCTGTGGGGTGGGGCGTGCCCTACGCCGGCTCCATTGTGTCGGATGATCGCGAACTATTGGTGGACTTGTCGCTGCAGGTGCTTCTAGTGCTGCTGGACTTTGGTCAGACGACTCAGACTAACGTGGCAGCGACCTCCAAGCCACAGCAGGGGAGCTCCACGCCTGCAGCAAAGCGCCGGTCTTCTTCTGTCACGTCACGATCGTCCAACCCGGTGTTTGACGGTGTATCGAACGTGTACCGTACCTTGCTGTCAGCACTGCAACGACCGGAAGATTTCCAGTTAATCTTCACGGGACTGTCACGTCTATTGAACAACTATCATCAGTCTATGAGCACTCTACTACCGAACTCGATCAAGCAGATTAAATGCCATCAAGAACTGCTCGTGCTGCTGTGGAAAATGCTGGACGAGAACTCAGAGTTCCTGCAGTATGTGCTCAAGAAGGCCGACGTGAACCAGCTGGTAGTGCCGCTGTTGTTCTTAATGTACGAGGGCAGACAAGAGCCGGCCAAGGTGGGGATGATCCACATTTGCACCTTCATCCTGCTGCTATTGAGCGGTGAGCGTGACTTTGGTGTGAACCTCAACAAACCCTTCAACAACCACCTGCCTCTGGACTTGCCGCCGTTCTCCGGCAACCACGCAGATCTGCTGATTGTGTGCTTGCACAAGATCATCGTCAGCGGCTACGAGAAGCTCAACTCGGTGTACAACTGCTTCCTGACAATCATCTGCAACATCTCGCCGTACTGCAAGAAGCTCAACATGGTCTCGGCGGTGCGTCTCCTGCGCTTGTTCAAGCTCTTCGCGCAGCCGAGATACCTGTTCGACAACGAAGCCAACCACCACCTCGTCTTCTTCCTGCTGGAGGCGTTCGACAACATCATCCAGTACCAGTACGAAGGCAACCAGCAGGTGGTGTACGCCATGATCCAGAACAAGAACGTCTTCTATCAGCTCAACGACCTGCAGCTCCCACCGATCCGAGCGTCAACGGAGAGCAAGAAGCCCGTCACGAAGGAGGGGGAAGAAGGAGCAGAGCAGGAGGAATCCCAAGAGTTCGTCCCTACCGTCGAGTGGCTCACTGCATGGAAGAAGAAACTGCCGCTTACAACGAGTCTGCGCTTGCTCCAGTACCTTATTCCACAGCTTGAAGAGGCCTGTCAGAAGGCTGGCGGGAGTCTGGATGAAGACGCGATGCTCTACTTCCTGCGCACGACCACGATGGTGGGTCTGCTGCCTGTGCCCCACCCGATCGTAATCCGGAAGTACCAGATCAACCAGTTCACGCACTTGTGGTTCACCACGTTCACGTGGGGCGTCATCTTCCTGCGCAACCAGATGCTGCCTCTCTTTGACGGCGGAGCGATCACTCTGTTCACCATCAGCGTCCTATAAGAAGAAAGGTAAACATGGTTGAGTCACGGGCGAAAGTCCTACAATGAAACATGCGAGTTCGATATATAAGCATAGGGAGGCTATTGATACATCATTGTCTGCAGGGTACGAGCCCGTCATCCGTTGAAGAGAATTCGAGGCACCCTGTGTAGACAGCTGTCTCCGTCATGGCATGGACAGGAAGTGCAGAAGGAACTTGTCCATCTTCTCCGCTCGCTGGGCGGCGTTTGCTTGGGCGACCTCGAACTCGTGCGCATCTCGACGTAGCCGTTCTTCGGGCGGTCCGCTCTTTGGAGGTATGAGAATGCCTGACTGGTTGGAGCCCACACTTGACACGGTGGAGGTTGTAGACGACTGCGAGTTGGGCTGCTTGTGCTCGTCGAGCGCCAAGACACGCCCCACGTTCGCGTCTTTGCCAGTGGTCCGTCTGCACGGCGACACGAGACACCGACCGAAGACGAACGCGAGCTTCTCGGGTGACAGTTTGTTGGTGGCGTTGTGTTTGATGACTTCTCGTAAGAACGCCACCAAGTAGACCACCACGTTGTAGCGCACTGGAGGCAACCCATCCAGCAACGCTCGACACCCTTGCGCCATGTTGCCGTTCGCACTTGCAACCGCGGCGGCCAAGGCTTCGTCTGGCACCACGCTCTGTCGTAACGCTTGAAGCCACCGCACGAGCAATTCTGCGGTCGAGTAGCCGCTGTGTTCCGGGAACGGAGAGCCCGTGTCCAGCGCTTCTCGGAGCTGTAGAATCTCCGCCTTACTCCCCGCTTCGACGAACAAATTCTTCTCGTGCATGTAGTTCTCGTAGATGTCGTTCACCATCCGCCACAGCTCCTTGGGCACTTTTTGAGAATCGCTCAGAGTCGTACAACTCGGCGGTCCATTGGACGATTGAGGCGACATCAGAGACTTGGCATCGACACCCGTGGCGCCTCCAACCCAAACGCTAAAGACCGAGGCTGCAGGAGAGCGAGCAGCTGTGAACTTGGCGTGTCGGATAGGCTCCGAACAGGACACGAGCTGCTCCAGAGAACTCCCGAAGCATGAGTTTGCGTACTGTCCGGACACCACCAAGAAGTAGTCCCGTCCATTCTCCACGCGTAAGATCATCGTGTCGTCGAGACTTTCCTCTCCGCTAGTGAGACCGTGAGCGACATTGACGTCAACGAGAGCTGTGATGCAGATCTCCATCTTCTCACGCGGTGGGATCATGCCGAACATGGGCGCAACATTCAGCCACGACTTGCACACAGCGACATCTTCCAGCTTCGGAATGAACCGGAAATGCGCCACGACGAGACCTGTGTTCTCGATAATCACCTTTTTCTTCTGCTCTACACCATATATGAGCTGCGAGAAGGAGAACACGCCGCTGCTAGCTGTGCTGCTGTCCTCCTGGAGTAGCCGGACCTTGGGCATATTCTCGTTCTCCCACTTGTCCAGCTGCATCATGATCTCCCGGATGACGTCGTTTTTCTTGGACTCGACTTGGTCTTTCACTTGAATGTCGAACAGAGCGTGGACTGGCTTGTGATCGGACAGATCCAACACCGGGACTGAGCTATAGCAACGTAGCTTTACATCTGTTGGGGTCTTTGCTCTCCACAGCACACGATCGCACCATGCCGGAGCACGTAGTTTCTTCTCAGGCCGCTTTTCATACTCTGACGTACCAGCCTGGAACTTGTACGTCGGAGGGAATGCCAGCGGACCTTCTTCAAACCCTCTCAACACTCTACCAGCTCGTCTCTCGTTCGTTAATTGATCGTGTTGCTGCAATTCATTCAGCGAGTGGCCACTTTCTGCAAGACGGAAGACTTCTTCAGTGGTCAACGAATCCTGGATACGATAGTTTAAGTCGCCGATCCAGAATACAAAGTCATGGTTCAGAATCGAAGGTTCACCACTCCAAAACCTGCCACTAAATATGTATCCATCTTCCATTAGAATACTACTACAGCTTTATACTCAACAGTTAAAGTATATCAGCGTACCTCAAGTCTTGTACCGGTGCAGTCGTTCCATCCTCGACACTCTCCTCGAACTGAATCTTACTCATAATATTGAGATAGTCAGCATTCCTCCCAGCTACATTTTCTCTGTGAGCAGCCAAGTGGGCGCATACAAAGCAGAGTGTACTGCTATAGAATTTGAGCCTCACAGCTGCTCCTCCTTTGTTGCCCATGACGCCCATGATTCCCACACCGGCGGTCGCTCCCTTGATCTCCTTCACATGGTCCCAGTGGTCGGTTCTAACGAACACTAGCAGTAGAATCCCTACCAGGTGCTTCTCTAACACCACTCTGTACTGTACTGAGGTGTCGGAGCTTCCAGCAGGGGCTCCAATATAGCGATTCAATGCTGTAAGCATGGCTTCTTCCCATGCTGAGCTGCGTTGCACCGTCATCGCACTATTCACCACCACGTTGACCGCATTTAGATCTACGATCTCCTGAAATCCTAAGGCTACAATATCTGGCGGTTCTCGTCGGCTTTCTGTCGTTGGAGGATGCAACCAATGGACGATCTTGGATGCTTCAGAGGGACCCAGTGGCTTCTTCGCGTTGACGTTCCAAGTGCCTGTGACGACGCGTGTAGGGCGGAACTCGGTGTACGAGGCTTGACGCTGCTGTAGCTGCTGCTGAATCCAGTCTTCGCGGATAATATCCATTACTACGGGGTTGTAGTACTTGCCGTTGGCCGACTGGGATGCTGCAGAGGACGCTGAGGAGCAGGACGAGCCGAGAGACTCGGCCTCGCAGTTGCTGCCACGACCCTGAGGACCGAGCGACGAGTTCATCGCGACGGGAGACGGTAGCACCGCCGCAGGGGACGGAAGACCACGCGCAGCCATGTAGGACGAATTTCTAATTCCTCTGCGCCTCTTGGGCGAGGAATGTCGTAACGCGTTTTGTATACATGTATAGCTGACAGTTGTAGCACTTTACATTTATTTCATCAAATCAGAGTGCCTTTAAATTACTTCTGATTAAAAAAAGTTTAGTGTAACCCCTGGGGTTACGTTCTCAGGAAGAATCCTATCGTAGCAGACAAAGAAGCATTAATATTTAGTGCTGCCTCTTGTGTCTGCGGCGATGGAGGGGCGAAACGGCAAGTGGGTGAACGTGGACTATACGAACCGCATTATGGAGGAGTCGGCGGCGCTGCCGCCGGGTGGATCAGCCGCAGCCTCCGCGACTAACAGCGGGCTGGACGACCTGACGCCATTTCTCCCAGCGTCCGATGGCCAATACGATCGCTCCATGTCGTCTCTGAACTCATCGTCGGCCTCTTCAGCCCGCGGCGAGCCTCCATCCAACATCCAGGTGACTGTCAGTGAGCCTGTGAAGCAAGGAGAGGGTATGAACGCCTACATTTCGTACAAGATTAGCACTACAACGACGCGTCCGCAGTTCTCCAAGAGCTCTTTCTCCGTTGTACGTCGCTACAGTGATTTTGTATGGATCCATGGCCACTTGAGTGCCTTGTACCCCGGGGTGGTAGTGCCTCCGTTGCCCGAGAAGCTGCTAGTAGGACGCTTCTCACCCGAATTCATTGAAAGCAGACGCAGAGCGCTACAGCTATTCCTACAGCGCTGCTGTCTACACCCTGAACTACAGCACAGTGAGCACCTCACCACCTTCTTGGAAGCCAGTGAGGATCAGCTACAGGCATTTCGTAAAGATCCACGTCATGCAGCGCCCAATGCCCAGCGGGGAGTGCTGTTCCAATGGCTAGACGACACAGTGAACACCATCTCGTCCACTTTAATCACACCTGCAACGAACTTGCCGAAGACCCCAGCGGACATTGAAGTGGAGGACATGATGGCTTACATTGAAGGGCTGGAACCAATAATGACAGGGCTGCATAAGCACGCCCATGGGCTCACAAAGCGCGCCCGGGAGATCGCAGACGGACTGTTTGAGTTTGGAGTATCATTTACGTTATTGGGCAAGTCGGAGGAGAACCCGTCGCTACAGGAAGGACTGAACCATATCGGACATTGCTCGGACAAGCTGTCGATCTTGGCTGCTGAACATGCCGAGCGTGAGGCGCTGCACTTTGAAGAGCCGATATTCGACTACATTCGTCTGGTTGGGGCTGTGAAGGCTGCTTTACAGAAGCGGAATGAAGTGAGATGTGCATATGGCGCTGCAGTGGCCAATCTGGAAGCCAAGGAAGCGGCGTTGTCGAAGTTGCTCAAGCATACGCGAGGTGGGTCTTCAGAGGAGAAGGTTCAAGTGGCTGAGAGCGAAGTACGCACGGCACAGCAACAAATGGAAGATGCGAAGCTGGAAGACGACATTGTCACGGAACGCGTGCTACGGGAAGTGGAGCGATTCAAACGTGAGAAGCTGGCAGACTTTAAGCATATTATCTTGGACTACATTCAGATGCAGATCGAGTACAGCAAAAAGGTCGAAGAAGAGTGGCAAAAAGTCATCCCACACCTCACCATGATCCATGTGGAGAATGGCGGGTCTCCGGTGTCGTCTATGAGTCCCGTTTCAGAAGCTACCAATGGGAGTTTCCAGGAGAGAGACGCACATTCAGCTTCTATTGGTCCGGTCATTCAGGAGGACTACATCCCGTCGAATGGAGATCTGGCGGATAGTCTGGCGGATCTAACGCTGATGGCAAACGACAGTGCTGATGAGGATCCATTCCAGCGCTCTCCGTACGGCTCTCGGCCTCTGGAAGACTCGAACCCGGACGTGTCACTATAGGAGAGGCCTGTGATGGAAGAGCCTCTTGTGTTTGACGATCGATTATATTTTAATGTAAGCAAGGAAACTTAACTGGTGTGTCTCTATTGTTCAGTTGCAGGTCGCTGGCGTCGTTGAGCAAGAGCAGCGGCGATCTGGTCGCGAGAAGGTAATATCCATCGAGCGTAGCTGTCCTGGTACCGAAGTTCTCCTGCTGCTTCCTTCCGGTTCTGGATAAACTCGGTACCATGATACAGTGTTACGCCAGCTAGAACTGTAAGAACAGTGCACAGTACCAGCATCACAATCTGGTTTCCTGATAGTCCTACCAGCTTCATAAGCGGAAGCGACTCGAACTTAGACGCTGCTACAGGACACGAAGGTTCGCCACTTGTTGCATTGGAGCCAACGGTGAGGTTCACCGGGTAGTCTGCGTACACGTACAGGTTACACGGACCATAGCTCCCCACGTGACTACCACGAGCTATGCGCATGTAGCCATCCTCTCCCCACATAGTACCCCACGTATTACGGATAACCCAGAATTTCTCACCTGCTTCAGTCTCACCAAAGCCTACGACCACCACAGCGTGGTTGACCTCGTCTCCATCACTAAGACAGTCTTTCGCATCGTAGATCCCGCCTGCATAATGACGGAAGCCACTTCCTGTAGCGTCAATGTTGGCAGTGACAGGTCCACTCGTCACAGCTTTGAGCAGCGCCTTCTCACTCGCTGCCACTAGCTTGTAGGCCGACCCATTCGACTTCCAAGCCACAGCCACTTGAGACGTTAGTGACGACGAACATTGAGGGTGCGTCTCGTTCGTTGCCATCACGTACGGATACGCACTTTCACATGAGATCCCGTGAGGCTGAGCGAGCTGTAGGTACATGTATGTGAGGAACGGCATGCCACCCGCACACCCTTCGGACGAGCTGGTCATGTTGTCCTCAAACTTACTCCGGATATGATCCAAATCTGCCGAGCAGCTCAACACTTGCTCCACACTCAACGGAGACGCCTGTACGTTATTCTCAATAGCATATCTCGACTCCACCGCTGCGACGCCGGCAAAGGCCCAGCAGCTTCCACACGTTCCCTGGTTTTTAATTGGCGTCATATACTTGCCACCATCCTTGGTAGTCCAGTCTAGCTCTATCGGCACCTCAATATCTTCTTCTTCATCGTCACTTTCACTCGATCCGTCGTCTATTTCAAAGCTAATGGTAACCTGTTTGCCTTTCTTGCGTCTATTCGGTTCTTTCTTCCTTTGCTTCCGTCTGGGTGAATCTCTGTCCGGTCTGGAGGTCAAAAATGCGCGATACTGTTCGTCGGTCAAGTCGCTGAGCTCGTTGTAGCCCATAAAGAAGCTCTTCTGGCCTGCTGCATGCTCAGCATTGGCCTCGTCCACCACTCGTTCAGTGTTGGCGAGAGCTTCAGCTCTCGTTTCGTCGGACGATCTTGTAGGCCCAAGAAGGGCTCGTCGGCGTGTACGCGTCTGTGCATGATGCAAACGCAGCTCATATCCCACTACTGTCTGCATATACACGGCGGTTGCGTTGTGTAGAGCGCCAAACAGTAAGCAAACGCGTAAAATGCGCATCTTTGGACAGTTGCGCAGTGAGTTCTGGGGGTTATGCGCGGGAATTGGAGCTGCCGAATGAGCGAGAAGAAGCTAAGCACTCGATACACAGTCCAAGAGGAGGACTCAGTGCAATAGAGAGCCCGAGTAGCAATGTTAAGCCTTCAGGAAGAGGCGGCGAGGTCGGTTCGGTGCTCCCGCGCATGCGGGTTGTTACTGGAAAGAAGTGGATACTTTCAATTGTGCCGGAATGATAATGGTAAACACGAAACCTTTTATCTTGAGCTGAGTGGCAGAAAGGAAATGATACGGTACAGTCATTACAATACACCCGAATAAATTGTTGATCAGCCGTTTTATCTGTGTAAAGAGGTAAAGTGGCAAGTGCCACATTTACTTCAACTTGTGGTGAGTTCGAGCGTCCAAGCGAATTTAAATGTACAGGCGTTGGTCGAATTCTAGTTTGTAGCCACTTTTGTGGGTGAAAAAAGCGAAGAGGGAATATTCGCGCTATACTCGACTTGAATCCGGACCCATTGTTCATTTGTGTTGAGGCAATGCTTGTATCTCGAGAAGAGGATGTCTAAATTTTATTCCTCGAGCTATTTTTATAGCCTACCTCTCCATTCGCGATATACAAGACGCATCCTTAGTGCTAACTGTGCTAAGTGCGTTCAACGCTGACTCGATTTCCAGGCTATCTGCAAAAACTTTAAAACTTGCTCGTGCCATCGGATGGCTACGAGGAATCGTAGCCTTAAGGACCTTCACTTCATTCCGAGCAGCGACAATATCAAATTTGAACACCCAGAAGTGTAAGAAATCTATGGCCGTGTTTGTGGCAGTCGTCTTCCACGAGGACGACTTGCGGAGTGCATTCAACACGTAAAGAGCGTTTAAAACCTCGACAATGAAGATAACATTTTCAGGCTTGAGATCGTTGTTCGTGTGTTGACGACTAACCCAGTTTTTTGCAATCAGCTGAATAATCGGTAATATGAAGATGAACATCACTTGATGAATGCCAGTGAGCCGTAAATGTAGATCCGATAGACAAAAGTGAGTACTACTTGGCAGTTAAAGACAGATAATTGTCGCTTGACGTCTTCCCATAACGTTGGGTCAGCTCTCCATCGAGGACCTGAAATGTAGACAAAACACGCAGTAATCAAGATGACGTCTATCGGTGCCACAACGAGCAAGCCGAACGGTAACGGGAAGACAGTCAGCGCACATAACATCACAATGAAGGCCACGGAAAGTGCCGACGCGAATAATGCGGAGCAGATCACTTGTCGAGAAGTCAGCTTAAGCTGAGGTGCGCTTCGACCCATTTGAACCAGCGCGTTTCCTTTTATAAAAGCCAGCACCAACCATGATCGGACGAAAAAAAACGTCTGTTGAGCACGCCTGATTCTGGAGAGCTGAGAGGTAGGACTTGCTTCAATAAGCTGAGGGCAATGGCGTCAACACTTGTACAGCTAGAAGTCGTAGAGCTGTCAAGTCTTTCTAATACACGTACAGGTTGTGGAGGCGGTCAACAGAAACCGGCCTTGGAATTCGACTTGAACAGACATCCATGCTGTCCAATAGCGTGCTGAGACTGTTTGATCATTGGTGAACGGATTGCAAGTTTTCGCCTTTTTTACAAGCTAGCTATCTTCGCCCAACAAACTATGGTTAAGGTATGTAGTCAAAAACCTTAATTTTGAGCATCTGGAGCACTAGCAGAGAACTTGCTTATCAGCCCTTTGTTAGTTTACAGTTAATCCTTTTGATGCAAATGCGAGAATATACTGTACCCAAGAACATCATCAAATTCAGATCAAAACAACCCCAAGTTAAGTTGTATCCTGGCGGCTCTTGGCATGGCGTTGGTATAAATGTTGATACTTAAAATGACAAAAACACTACTTTAAGGCTTAGAAATCATATGTGCTTCTTTTACTTTTTGACTCGTGAATCCCGATAGTTGTTGTATTCGTGAGCCACTGAAGTTTAATAAAAAACGCTCTTGTTCACCGCTGTATTCATTGTCTTGATCGGAAATCATCAAGTGAAACCCAATCCTGCAACTTGCTTGATAGATGTAGTGTACCATAGACATAGACATCAGAGCGAGTTGGAGTCGTCACAGCCCCTCCGATTCCGAGTTTGACGCTGTTGTGTAGTACACGAGACCGTGCGATGTCGAGTACCCGACAAAACACGTGTACTCGACGTCGACGTTCGAGACAGACATGTCACTTATCGGCTCGGTGCATTCTGGTTCGTGAAATAGTTGCAGCTCCAGCGACGAATTCGCGTTGACAACGGCAATAGCAGCGCCGTAAGGCGTGATGTCGGGTAGAACACGGCAATGACCATCTGCATAAAATGCGAGTGCAT